GACTTTGCTTTAAACTTTTAGAAGGGAATCTCAGTAGCATAGCATAGTGCTATTCCCATAGCACTTTGGGTCCCTTGGACATATCCAAGCCAGATATTTTAGGGGCTCATCTCTCTGGTGCAGATCCCAGGGGTTGGAGTGCCTGTCATGGATCACCAGCTCCTTACTCCTCGGGAGAGGCGCTAGGCAGGTGAGACTCCCCTCCTTATTGTATGCCTCCACACCAGTGGTGGGATTTTGGTGAAACCATGTCTCTGCTTCTCCAACCCATTCTCAGTGTTGTCTTTTTATCCTTCATTATGGAGAAGCAGTTAACTACAGTTTGCAGATTTTTGTCAGAGGGAAATGATCCATATGTTGTAGATCCTGTGTGTCTATGGGGCGAGGTAAGTTGAGGTTCTTCCTACATGACCATCTTGTGGAAGTCCCTGCTGCTTTTTTTCTTTTTTAAACCTATGAGAAATCTCACTAGGGAATTTCTTAATATTCAAAATTCTATTGCAAATTTTCTAGGGACATAGTATATACATTCAAGTCTTTCTTTACGTCAGAAAAATAGTTCTTCTAACACATTAAAAAAACTTTTCTATGCCACTACATATGTCATATATATGATATATAGGACCTCTTTTTTCTATAATTTATGTGATTATCTGTCTTAGATATTTATTTTTTCTTTTCCATTTCATCGTGTGCATTTCTCAAGACTGTTTTCTATGTCCTAAACTAGTAACTTTTATAAATTACTTTTATAAATTTTTGTTTTTTATTCTGCTCTTCTTTTGAGGGGGGAGGCAGAGGGAGAGAGTATTTTAAACAGGTTCCACTGAGCCAGATTTGGGGCTTGATCTCAACCCTGAGATCATGACCCGAGCCAGAATCAATAGTCAGCCACTTAACTGGTTATGCCACCCAGGGGCACATTTTCTTATTGTTACTAATGAATTCATCTCTGTAATTTTTCCCTGATTACTACCAGCTCACTATTTTTCTTTTATGATTGTATCATATTCTATCAATATTATTTTTTAAGAACATAGAGAACTATTTTAACTCTTTGTTTTTGAGGAACTTAACACACAAGTAATACTTTAAAATATTATTGTTAAACATTTACCTTTATATGCATTATTTAGTCCTTGTGAATTCATGAATGTGAGAAAGTAATATATAGAGAGAACCATATATAATATAAAGAACCATTCAAATTATAATATTCCTTTATGCATTATGAAACTGTCTTTGTGAGATAACCAATTGATTCAATGCTAAATACCTTTAGCTAAGAACTTTGATTATTTTTTATGTATTTATATATTTCAAATGAGCAGCACAGTAGTGTTCATATAATCTCTGCTGGTTTTTGTTTTTGTTTTTTTTAGTTCTCAGTTAAATAAATTTAGAGTTCAAATGCTATTACTGCATAAGACAGTGTGAGACATCCATAAAAATTACCTATCATAAAATCAAGGAAACATCAATGATAGAAGATGGATTAGGAATTGTATAAACTGATTGTTGCAGAATGGTTAGGTATAGTTATGATGATTTTTCCCTCTGTATTTTTGGTATATGTCCTCTGTATATAGCTGCACATTTGCAGACATATTTGAGAAGCATGGATTTATAGGATTTATAGCTACCTACTGTGCCATCTACTTTCAGTAACAGTTGGTTTCCTAAATGAATTGGCAAGTAGGCACATCACAGTAGTGTTTTGTTTTATTTTCTATAGTGTTAGAAATAGTTTGCTTTTGAGCAGAAAAGGGAAATCTTTGTGCCTGAAGTGGTTTTTGACAACTCTTTAAGTACCATTACTCCTATAAAGGACAAGATGTGGTTTGAATAATATAGTAGTGCTAAAATGTCACATTTTTCAGACATCTATTTTATGGCTTTCCTTGAAAAACTGAGCCAAACACCCCTCCCTGGAATTTAACGACTTGTGTCTCTAAATTCTCGGTAAACAATAAATTGTCTTGTTCTTTGAATAAAAGTTGTCATGACAACTTGGCAAGCTTGGGCTGTTAGAAGTCAAACATCAAACTCTAATCTTTAGTTTCTCACTATTTTCAAAGATGTGGCATTATTTTGGGCAGCTCTGATTTAAGTAAAAATGAACATTATTTTCAATTAGACATTTCAGTGAAACTGGACAAAAGTCATTTATATTTTTGCAGATAATCCATTATTTAAGCATAATGATATTCTTTATGTTAACTTCAAAACTATTTTTTGAATTTAAGGGTTAAGGGAAATACCAGAGTGATTTTAGATATGTCAATTGCAACAACTATATCGAACTCTATACTTAGGGTCTGTAATTTTAAAGATAATATTATTTGGTATTTATGGTAATTTGGCAGCATCATAGACTCTGTTACATAATTCACCTAAAGATCACATCTCTGACCTCAGTGTTGCTGAACTCTTTATAGTAATACTAGCAATCGGGAGAAAAACTACAATTTTTATTTAAACTTATTGACTCTTTTTTTCAAAACCCCCTTATATGTGATTCATTGAAAAATTAAGTGAATCATTATCATTTGTAATTCAGACTTGATAATTTACAGCAGTTTAGATACAAGTTTCCATTCCTGCTGTGTAATTAGCTAGAATACCAGATTTGGATAGATGTTTGTTATCCAGATCTATAAACCTATAGAGAAGATTGCCTTACTCAACATTGCTCAAGTTAAGTCTCTTTTGGTTGGAAATTAGGGAAACTTGTATGTCCGTAGTCTTTTGGTTGACAATAACTCAATTGAAGGGTTTTAACAATAAAAAAATTAATCGTTCATGTAAGTGAGCAAGCATGGAATGCATTGGATCAGGTACTTGGTGTTTTTGCTTGTTTGCATGCAGAGATAATGACTTTTTTTTTATCTATGTTTGCTTTATCTTCAGGCGGAGTTTCCTCATGGTAGCAAAATGGTGGCAGTAGTTTCAAGTCATAAGCCTACACATCTCAGCAATCAGAATAAGGGAAATTATCTCCTATATATATAAACTCTTACATGTCTCAATAATTGGTTGTTTTAGGTTATGTGCTTTTGATGCCCACCAGCTATGCTAGCCAGTAGAATGACATGTATAGAATGGTTTGCGCCTGATGTCAAAGAAGGTACCCACCTTGACACTTCCATGGTGAAGCATCAGACAGTAGGGAGTCAAATACAAGTTGGAGACACAACCAAATGCTTGTTGCCTTCCTCGAACCCAGGCAGTCAGTGTCATAATGATCTGGAAGGAGGTACTAGAAAACCAGTAGGATATTAAATCTCTTTTGCACTGCCTGGAATCTTGTTCATGCTTCTTTCTTTGTATCTTCTTTTTTCTTCTTTCTCTAAAGAACTTTTTTATCTTTCATTGTGGTTGCACTTATAATTTGCATGTGATATCTAGAGTTTAATTAGAGGTTGGTGGTTTACCTAGATTTTTTTTTAATCTGTTAACACTTAATCACTGTCCTCAAGATTTAAGGTCATACTTTTTCTGTTAGTCATGGGACAAAATCTATTTAGAATACTGCTTAGAATATTCCTTTATACAATAAGTTTCATATATTTTAGCCTAATGACTTGTAAAAAGGTACATGGAATTCCTGTTTTGACTACATTTCAGGAATAATCATATTTTATTTAATTAACACTTCAGTAACAAATGCATCAGATGAAATTCACAGTCCAAAATCATATACCCTCTATTTACCAAACATTATCCTTATGTATACCTGAAGGTTTTTAAATATATTTTATCTGACAGACTCAAATTGATAAGCACAATTACATTTTATGGTAAAAAAAATTTCATTGCGATCTGTGTTAGGCAAGAATCATATGACTTTTCTTGGTGGTCCTCAGCAATATTCCTTTTTAAAACATTTAAATATCTTCACTGAGTGAGAAACATAAAAATTAAAGGTTTTGTGACAAGCACCGTGGTAATAATCAATAGTGAGAATTCAAATAAAAGTAGAATTTAATAACTCAAATTATAGGGAAAAATATATTATTTCCATTCTGAGGATCATTAAAACTGAGAGCAGGCCCTAGTTTTAAAGGGGAGAAGTTTGAATTTGTTGTCACTCAATAGTAATTATAGTTCAGGTTTGCACTAAATAGTTCCAAAAGTAACATTTTGTTTAGGCAGCAACTAAATCCCTAGAATTACCATGGTAAAAAGACTATTGTAAACAGAATGTACATTTTCCTCTATGTTTTCTTTATTTAACAATTTCCTCTAAAGAGCCTTATTTTATATATATTTAAATCTAATTCACTTTCCTTAGAGGTTATTTAACTCCTCTGGCTATTTTGAAGAATAGTAACATGTCTAGCTTCGTAATATCACTTTTTGTTTGGTTTTAAGAATTTTAAGGACAATATCTCTAGGGTTTTTTTTTTCTTTCCTTGTGGGAGGACTTTTTTTTTCTTTTTTAATGGAATTCTGTTTATATAAATCTGTCAATTATATATATTAGGTATATAGTGACTTAAATGTTTCCTTTTTTTCCAGCCTTATTAAGATATAATTCACATATAACATTGTGTAACTTTAAATTGTACATCCTGTTGATTTGGTATACTTATATACTGCAAAATGATTGCCACCATAGCATTAGCTAATACCTCCATCACATCATATAATTACCATGTCTTTTTTTGTGGTGAGAGATCTATTCTCCTAGCTACCTTCGAGTGTATAATATAGTATTGTTAACTAAGTCACCATGCTGTAGATTAGATCCTCAGAACATATTTGTCTTATAAAGGGGAATTTGTATTCTTTAGCCAACATCTCATTTGCCCCACCCCACAGCCCCTGGTACCACCATTCTACTCTGTTTTTCTATGAATTCAGCTTTTTTTAGATTCCACATATAAGCAGGAATATACACTATTTGTCTTTTCTGTCTGCTTTACTTCACTTACCATAATATCCTCAAGGCCCACTCATGCTCTCTATTCTTGATATGCATTATTCTTTTATTATAGGAGGACACAGATCATAATTACTATATATCTCGGATATATGGTCCATCTGATTCTGCCAGTCGGAGTTTGTGGGTGAACATAGACCAAATGGAAAAGGACAAAGTGAAGATTCACGGAATATTGTCCAATACTCATCGGCAAGCTGCAGTAAGTGCTTTGGCATTTTGAGTTTCTTTTTCTGATGTAATTTTTTTTGCTTTAATTGGCATATCAGTGTTGTTTGTTGTGATCACTTTTTATTATTTAGTTCTGCAGTTGAAATTTAGATTAATGATTGCATAGAATATCCTCGAAAAAATGAGTAAGAATTATTTTAACTAAGAAGCCACCATCCATTTAACTAATAATTACTTAAATAAATTAATTTACCATTAATTTCCCTAGTAAAATGAGTTGAATATTCAAAGTCAAGATTGATCTTGGATAATTTTAAGTTTTCTTGTAATCTATGAATCGAGAGAACATTTTTATTTATTTTAGTATTTTTAAAGATTTTATTCATTCATGAGAGACACAGAACGAGAAAGAGAGGCAGAGACACAGGCAGAGGGAGAAGCAGGCTCCATGCAGGGAGTCCGACATGGGACTCGATCCCAGAACCGCAGGATCACGCCCTGGGCTGAAGGCAGGCACTAAACCACTGAGCTACACAGGGATCCCAAGAGAACATTTTTTTAAAAAATGACAGGAATTCAAAAAAAAAAAAATGACAGGAATTCGGTATCTCCCATTTACATGGGTGTATTAATTTCTTGGCCTGAAAAATATTTCACCAGAAACATTTATGATTCCGATAACATATGTAGGTCAAATTATGTATCTCCAGGCAGAAGTTTGATATAAAGGAAAAAAATTAAATCTGGAAATCTCCGAACATGTTTTCAGCTTGAGTTTATTTTATACCAGCTCTGGTTCTTTAAATGAGAAATGTAACTATGTAATGAGGTGTAGTTTCTGTGTCTGGGTATAGTGGGGAATGGCAGGATATTAATATAGGCCTCACTTAACTTACAGGTCATTGGTATCCTACTCTACCTGTCAGGCTGCATGCTTACATGGGTTAGCTTTTCAATCTTCACAGCATCTTCTCTATCATTTAAATATTATTGCCATCCTGGTATTGCAGATGAGAGAACTGAGTGTTGGAAAAGTCAACCTGCCTAAAGGTCTCCAGTCTTTAGTGATGAGACTCAGATGTCAGCATAGGCACCCAAGCCCACACTCAAAATATGTGTGTAAACTGTATCCCACTTGGTTCCAGCAGTTTTTGATAGTCATTTTCTAATAAATGCCTGATTTAACGTTTCAAAAGTTATTTAGTTTTGCTCTCATGGATAATACCTGTGATCTTACCATCAATAAAATCATGTCCTTGCAGGCAGCCTGGGTGGCTCAGCGGTTTAGCGCCACCTTCAGCCCGGGGTGTGATCCTGGAGACCCGGGATAGAGTCCCTCATAGGGCTCCCTGCGTGGAGCCTGCTTCTCTCTCTGCCTGTGTCTCTGCCTGTGTCTCTGCCTCTCTCTCTCTGTGTGTGTCTCTCATGAATAAATAAGTAAAATCTTTAAGAAAAGAAAAGAAATCATGCCCTTGCAGTTTAATATGACTTAAAATAAAAACACAGCAACTTGAGCCTTTCAAATGTGATGGCCACTATGGAATTAAAGATAAAACTAGAGCTAATAGACTCAATGGCTTATGTGATTTCAAGAGGCACCAATTTGATGGTTATACCAAAATTTTTAGCCAACAACCTTAATTGTATATATATACACACTCTACTATTTTGGAAAATCAACTCCTAATAGTTAAAATGAAAATTAATTATAACTCACCATAAGATGATTTCTTGAACTGTCAGTGTGGGGCACATGTTTTCTGAGCCTGAGAAGTAAACAAAGGAGCCATCTCACCTACTAAATTACATCATCCCTTTTCTTTTCCATATTCAGGCAATCCCAGGCAAGATGACAGATTCAGAAATGATTCACTTGTGGATTTAGAATAGATTTTCAAAAGAAGAGAAAATGAGAAAGATTAGATTAGGACAATATTTACCAGAAATTTCTTGCTTTTGACAATTTCCTTACTATATTACAGCACTTAGTCATGTAAAATGCCCTTTGTAGATGTTCAAATGTTGAGTGCATCCAACTGAAGTTTCCATAAATTGACCCAGTTGTTGTAGCAGCCACTATGGATAAAATCTCTAGGCAAAGAAAGATTATCAGTGAAACTGTTAGTGGATTTCTGCTTACACACTTTATCGTTTCCCGGGATCTCCCAAAGTGCAGCAGTTCATGTGTCTTGTTTTTTCTTGAAGAATATTTCTTTTTCTCTTTGGGTTTGCTTTGTTGTCATGTGGCTCCAATTCTCTCATTAGTCTCAAGAAAAATTATGCTATAATGAACCATCTTTTTTTCTTACTGTTAGCATGGGAATGACACTGTTGCTTTCAACACCAAAAGTTGGCTTAAACACAAATGCTTGAGCTTTTGCTCGTAACTTATCTGGTATTCCATGCATAGAATTTTAAATACTTATCATTGGTAGAAACCTTTATTTTAGCTACTCTGTCATTGTCATCACTTGTTTTTTTTTTTTTTCGATTCAAGAATTTTAGCCTATCATCGAACATTATTCTTAGAGTTAGAAGTTGATCCTTTACCCATTTTTCCTATCACTATCAACAGAACACACACATACACACACATGCATACCTAGGTACACATGTCATTTACCATAATAGAATTGATAATATATCTTTGTTTCTTTTTTTCCCCTGGAAAAAATTGTCATTTAGAGCCCTTAATTTAAGTAGGTTTCATATTTTAGAACTTATAAATTTAGTTAATAGAATATTTTAATTTTTTTTCTACTAACATTCTTGCTTTTTAAAGTGTGATTGTTAAATATTAGTAAGAGGTTTCCAAGTTGTAAAGGGTGATTCATGTTTTAGAATATCCTGAGTTGGCCTCCCCACCTTTCCAGTCTATTCATTTCTATTATGCCTTCCTGGGAGCAGAATCAGGTTTTTAGAGATGATGACAAAATTGTAATGTTAAGATATCAATGTAGCATATTATGAGCAGAGGGCACCATAGTGTCCATAAACACCCTCCCTCCTACCCTCGCAGGACACATACACACACCCTGAGTACCACTAGGCCACTCTTCTCCCCTGTGGTGTTACTAAGATGCTTTATTTAGCCCAAGGGAAAATGGCAAATGGGAAACAACACATCCACTTAATTAATTAGGTTTGTTGATGTCATAATTGTCATAATCCTCGCTGCAAAGCTCTGTGGTAATTTACCTGGAAACAGCACTTAAATTTAAGCCCCAAGAGAAGAGGGGAGTTTCTCAGATCTTATCACCAAATGGTTTAATTTTCATGACCAAAAACATACATTCTGTCAACAAATTGGACAAAAAAGAAAAAAATAAAAGAAATATATATCCAGGGGCAGACACAGGAGCATTTGCCTAACTAATCCAGCGTTGGCAAATGAGAAAGCTAGAGATTGGGCATCCCTGAAGATGTAGATTCCCTCCCCTTTCCAGGCTGCTTCAGAATGGCTCAGAGGAATGTAAAGGAGTGTCTGATTGGAAGCATGATTTTTTTTAAAGATTTTTTTTTTATTTTTAGAGAGAGCAAGAGAGCACATGCACACACAGGCACACAAAATGGGAGAGGGGCAGAGATAGAGAGTGAGAGAGACTCCTCCCTGAACACGGAGCTAGGTTGGGTGGGGGCTTGATCCCATGACCCCAATGTAATTACCTGAGCTGAAATCAAGAGTCAGCCACTTAACCTGCTGAGCCACCAAGCATAATTTTTTAAAGAAGTATTTTCCCCTCCACCACCATCATTTATAAATGGGGTCTAAACAGCATTTTGGAATCTTAGATTAATATTCTAGTAAGAAGAGAGTAGAATTGAAGTAAGAGCATACTCCTTTCTCCTATCTGCAATAATATCTTATAATTTGAGGGCAGAGAACAACTTAGAAATCATTTGCTTCAAGTGCTTCACAAGCTGAAACACACTGATTTCTTTTTCCTTTTAGAACGTAAGCCATATTCATTAGTATGTATATTACATATGTATGCTATAATTTGATTACAGTCTCCCCATTGTCCTTTTTGGTTTGAATAACATTTCTTAAATCATTATTGCAAAAAAAAGCAGATGTTAAAACTTAGTTTTAACTTTGACAGATTAAAGTAAGAAGCATGTTTTCTAGACAAAGGATAGTGAAAATTTGTATCAACTCCTACCATATGGCAAGCAATGAGCCAGACACTTTATATTCAAATACTGGTAATTATTTGGATTTTTTGTCCTTTATGCAAAGTCAGTCAGTTGTCAGATTACACATCTAGACGTTTCTGACCATAAACCTAGGAAGCAGTCCGACTTGTTTCTTTTTCCCTGTGTGGACCTTCAGATTCCACAGTTTTGATATTTTCTTCTGTATTTCTATATCCATGTTATTTAATTTGTTTCTGGGTACAAAGTTTGATTCCACAACTAGACAAATTAGAATTATTTGTTTTCTGAAACCACAGTTTATGAAATTCTGATTCACAACTCCTAGAGAAGTACCACTGTCCTGGTGGAAGGAATCCAAGGTCACAGAAGTCATGAAACCTTGGCCTCAAAACTCATTTTCTTGGTTTCTGGCCTCTCTGTACCTCAATTTTATAACCGGAAAGAAAGGAGAAAAATGCCTGCCTTGACTCCCTTCTAGTGCTATTTTAAGAATAAAAATGAAATGGATATGAAAGTACACTGCAAATATCAAATAAAAATAATATTGTAAGGCAGTGCTATTTGAGAGTACTCATTCTTTATAACAAAAATAACCCCCAAATAAGTTAATTCCCAAGTACTTTCCAAGAGTATCCAATAAATAGATTATAGATAGATAGATATCTATATCTATATCATCTATATCTATATTGTATATCTATATTGTATCTCCATAATTTTTTTTTTTGGCCAAGGAAATGCCAATGTGCTCTTGGCCAAACATAAAACATACTCTTAACTAAAAAATCTTCTATCTGTTGGTAGGAAGATTGATTCCTTATATAAGAAACCCCAGCAAAATGAAATTCTTATATCTCTGTCATAATGCAGGTA